GTCGTCTTCTGCGTCTTCTTCTTCTCCTTCTGGTACACCAGTTCTTTCGTCTCCTCCTATCCCTCCCGATTCATCACCTTTAGCTAGGTCTCCTGCATCCAGCTCTTCATCATCTGATTGCAGTCCTCCGCCACCACCTCCTCCTCCTTCTTCCCATCAGCACTCAATGACACTTCGTCCACAACCCAAGCCCAAGAAAATCTTTGATCCCTCGGCTCATCTTACCTCTGTTTCCTCAGTCTTGTCTACTGTTCCTACATCCTTCACCCAAGCCAAATCTCTTCCTTAGTGGCAGAATGCCATGAAGGATGAAATTTCCGCCCTCCTCAAAAATAACACATGGACTTTAGTTCCCCCTCCTTCCTCCGGCAATGTTGTCGGCAATCGAAGGCTCTATAAGATTAAAACTCATGCTGATGGCTCCATTGAGTGGTATAAGGCTCGGTTGGTGGCTCGAGGTTTTACTCAGTCTTTTGGGGTTGATTACACTGACACATTTAGTCCGGTTGTTAAGCCGGTCACCATTCGTTCGGTTTTGACTATTGTCCTGGCTCGTGGATGGTCGATTTCTCAACTTGATGTCAGTAATGCCTTTCTTAATGGTGTTCTAAGTGAGACCGTGTATATGGTTCAGCCACAGGGGGTTGTTGATCCGGTGCGCCCTCATTATGTGTGTAAACTGCATAAGTCCTTATATGGTCTTAAGCAAGCTCCTCGGGCCTGGTATTCTCGGCTGGCAGCATTTCTACTTACCTTGGGTTTTGTGGAGTCTCGTTGTGATCCGTCTCTTTTTGTCTATCGCCATGGGTCTCAATTGTATTTTTTGCTGGTCTATGTGGATGACATTATTCTTACAGGCAGCACTTCTGGTTTGGTCCAGCATTTTATCTCTTGTCTTGCTAAGGAGTTTTCTCTTCGGGATTTAGGTTCATTGAGTTACTTTCTTGGGGTCGAGGTTCGTCGTACTTCCAAGGGTTTGCTTCTCTCTCAGCGCAAGTATGTCACTGATTTGCTACGACTTGCAAATATGCATACTTGCAAACCTGTTTCCACTCCTTTGCAGGCTAATGTTGTGTTGTCCCGTTTGGATGGTACTCTGTTGTCTCCTGATGATGCGACTACTTATCATCGGCTGTGTGGCAGTCTGCAGTATACCACTCTCACTCGTCCAGATATCTCCTTTGCGGTTAATAAGCTTTGTCAGTTCATGCATCAGCCTCGCACTTCTCGTTTTCAGGCTCTCAAACGGGTTCTTCGCTATCTTCGTGGTACCGTTGATTACTGTTTAGTTCTGCATCCTACAGATTTGGGTACTCTTACTGCATTTAGTGATGCTGACTGGGCTGGTTGTCCGGATGATCGTCGTTCTACTACTGGTTTTCTCATTTTTTTTGGACCTAATCTCATTGCCTGGGCGTCTAGGAAGCAGCCCACTGTGGCTCGCTCGTCTACTGAGGCTGAGTTTCGTGCGGTTACTAATGTCTGTGTTGAACTGCATTGGGTGTGTCATCTGTTGTCCGAGTTAGGCGTTTCTTTAAATCGCCCTCCCTCTATTTGGTGTGACAACAGTAGTGTAGTTTTCCTTGCTGTCAATCCTGTGTTCCATGCTCGTACAAGACATGTTGAGGTTGATTTTTACTTTGTTCGAGATCATGTTCGGCGTAAGTTTGTTTCGGTCAATTCTATCTCTGCTGCTGATCAGCTTGCTGATATTCTGACAAAACCCTTGTCCAAAGAGTTATTCTTTCGATTTCGGGACAAACTTCGGCTTCTCTCTTCTCCGCCGTAAGTTTGCGGGGGCATATTGTAATATTTAGTATATTTCCTATTATGTCCTAGATTAGGGTTTGTTATTGTCTATATATAGTTGTATATTGTGCACAATACATCAAGAATTAAATATAATTTCCCTATTCTAAGTGGATGGCAAAAAAGATGGTCGCGGTTGGATAGATGAGAACAACGAGTTTCCAATCATCAAACTTTCCCTTGGTTAGTTTTTGTCTCCTCTTCGTCTTCCTTCTTTTTTGTTTTCTTGAAATTTTTTCTTGGTACCTTGTTATTGAGATACGCTACGATAAATATAGTCTATATTGGTATAAAAAAAAAATAAAAAATAAAAAAAAATTCATCCTTAAGTGCTAATTAAAAGAGGTCTTAATTATGAATTATTGTCTTTTGTTTTGATTTTTGTAGGTTTGGGTTTTGGACTCTTATCCTTGTTAATGGCTGTAGCTTTGTTATATTTTCGTGTTAAGAAAAGAAAATTAATGAGACTCAGGAGAAAATTCTTCCATCAGAATGGTGGTCTATTGTTAAAGCAACAAGTATCCTCCAATGAAAGTGGAATCAAATCAACCAAAATTTTCACCGCTGAAGAATTAAAGAAGGCCACCAACAATTATGCAAATGACAGGATTCTTGGTAGAGGAGGTTACGGTACAGTCTACAAAGGAATATTACCAGATTAACGAATTGTTGCCATAAAGAAATCCAAGATAATGGATGAGAGTCAAACCGAGCAATTTATCAATGAGGTAGTAATTTTGACACAGATCAAACATAGAAGCTCCTAGGCTGTTGTTTAGAGGAAGAAGTTCCATTGTTAGTATATGAATATGTCTCAAACGGAACCCTTTTCCACCACATCCAACATAATATAATGTCTACGTGGACGTCATAGGAAAACCGGTTAAGGATAGCGGCTGAAACTGCCGGTGCACTTTCTTATCTGCATTCCGCAGCTCTGAAACCGATTATTCCTCGAGACGTTAAGTCCGTTAATACATTATTGGATGAATATTACACGGCACGAGTCTCGGATTTTGGAGCTTCCAGATTAGTGTCATTGGATAAAACTCAAGCGACAACATTAGTGCAAGGAACATTAGGTTACTTGGATGCTGAATACTTCCGCACAAGTCAACTAACCGAGAAAACTGATGTCTACAGCTTTGGAGTGGTGCTGGCTGAACTTATTACAGGAAAAAAGCCATTATGTACGGAGAGAAGCGAAAAAGAGCAAAACCTCGTCACATATTTGGTCATGTCTATGAAGGAGAATCGACTATTTCAAATTCTCGATCCGCGAGTTGTCCAGGAGGGGAGCCTAGAGCAGCTTCAACAAATTGCGGAGCTAGTGAAAAGATTTGTTAGCATAAATGGTGCAGATAGGCCAACAATGAAAGAAGTTGCCATAGAACTAGAAGGATTAAGGAGGTTTACTTCGACATCCTTGGGGTGATAATAATCAACAACATGGCCATGATGAATTAACCAGATTAATGGCTCGTGAGACTGAATCGTTAGATCTTTACACAGTTCCGTTGAGTCCTATTCAGATTTAGCTCCTTTATCAGGGGAATACAGCTTGGACTCAACTCAAATGATATTCTCATCAAGCAGTCCTCGTTGATTTTTTTTTTTTTTTTTGTTTCTCCTTTTAGTATCATTTGAGGGAAGGAGAGGAGAAGGCGCGTCGCAATTGACAATTATTTGGGATCCTAATGTCTGACTTCCCACTTAAGCTTTTTTTAGTAAACTTATCATTCCACCTAAACACTTATCAGTTACTCCTTACTTTTAACTCTTTTTTTTTTCATTTGTAGTTGTTAGTTAACTTAATTCGCACTTGGTTATTTCAGTTCTTAGGTGCATATAAAAAGTTACCGGTGTAATCAGTGCAAATTTTCTGACATAAATATATGTGATATAAAAAATGATTTTTTCATAAAAGCCAGGTTTATGATGCATAAAAAAATGATGGACAAAATTTGGTGAGTATAATGATATAATAAAACAATGAAAGACCGTGTTTACATTAAATTGTGACACAAAACTGTGCACTTATATAATTGAAAAAAAAAACATTTTTATGTTTTAACGGTAGTAGTTGAAAAACATTTGTAATTGGGAGTAGCTTACAGAAAAACTCTTTACAATTCATCAACATAAACTCAATTTGCAATATAACTTGTTTTCTGAAAATGTTCGTGATCTTTTGTTCTTTCTGATTTTAAAGATATAACATTTAGTAGCTAAATTATTAACAATACAGTAGCAATATTATAGCAACTAAATGTTCTTAGTATATTGATAGTATCCTTTATCGGATCTAAATTATGTTACGTGATATAGCCATTATAGATTAGGATTGATCTATATAAATTTATCAATTGTGAACCCAATAATATGATCAGTGGCGGAAACAGGGGACCATCCCCCAATTTTTTTATAAAGAGAGGGCTTTATTTTTCAGTACAAAATTTCAAAAAATCAAAATTTTGTCCCTGTTAAGTAAAAATTTATCATTTTGCCCCTGCAGTTTATAATTTCTGGCTCTGCCACTGAATGTGATTGTAATATTTAAAAGTTGTGAGTTGTGCTTTAAATTATTTCTTTGTAATGTCAAATGCAGTTAGACAATTTCAGAATGAAATTATGTTATTCCCAAAAGAAAAAAAAATGTTCGTAGTTTTACTTAACACTATCGAATTAGATTACAAGTGATCTAAAATAGTTGGTCCAAAGACGAGGCACGACTTGTAAACATAGTAGAATAAACAGAAAATAACACCCTCGCACAAACCGCAAAAAAGTCATTTAAAAAAAATCATTTTAATGAAATAAATAGTTTCAAGACTTTAGTTTTATTCCAGGTTAAAGTAGAAAGTAAAAGCTCCTGAATGAAAATACATAAACAAAGGGACAAATGTGTAGATTAGTACATCATTAAAATCGGTGGTTCTTGCCGTCGACCAAACTAACGGCGAAATCCTTGAACCGACTTCCTTTTTTAGTTCTAAAATTAAATTATTAATGGTAAATTCACGATTTTTCTTTTTTCTTTGAAATTCGGTAAATTCACAAATTACAGTGACCTTTAAACTCGCAACGGCTAAGAAGGGCCATTGGATCTTATTTCATCGAACGGCTAAGGATTATTGAAAATCAGACCGTTGCTGGAGGGAACCGACTCTTCTTAAACTTCCTCAATCCTCATCAAATAGCAAAAATTCTCCTCATTTAATTAATATCTTCTCTCAGATCAATCTGCAGACGCAAAGAAGAAGAAGAAGAAGAAGGAGTAGAATTAGGTTTTTGTTCCATTGATCGGGAAGAATTTTCTTGAGATGTTTTGATCTTTGTTGAAGACTCATTAATGGCTTCGAGAATTGCAGTGCAACTGAACAGAGGTATCAAGAGATTTCCTTTTCATCTAAATCAAGTTATTTTGTGATGGGTTTTCGTTTATTTCCTTCTTATCGGTCTTTTTTCTCTTACATTGTTTAGTTCTTGGACTGCCAATTTTGTTCATTTGTTGCTTAGTCGGTCAAATAGCTGATTATTCTTTCTGGGCTCCACAATGTTTATAGCAGCAGATTGAAGATTTACGCTTTTTTTTTTTTGCTCTGTGATTAGTTCTTGGGGTTTTTTTGATGATGGTTTTTGGACTTATTTTGTGTTTCGTAAAGATGGGATCTTTTTTAGATCCTTCGATTAAGATCATCAAAGGATTTCTTCTGCTTCTGAAACAAAATTTTACGATAAGGGTTCTTTAGATTACAGGGTTCTTTTACTGCCATATTAGTGAATTTTTCGCTTGGTTGTTATTTTTTTCTGATTATCTTTATGGGGTTCTTCAAGCTTTGTTGGGACCTATTAAAGATTTATGGATTTTTTCCTTTGATTTTTGCGATGTTGTTAATTGGGCTTTTTGTGGTGGTGGTTTGCGGACTGATTTTATGGTTGCATCATTGTACCTTTATTCTCGTAATAATCAGATAATTTCTTCCATCATTCGATTCAGAGCACTGAGTAGTAATTTCTAATTTCTGTTCTTGTGGGTGATTGACTAAATTAGTTTCTGTTGAATGAATTTTCTGGGTTATCTTCAATGAGAATTATAGGTATATGATTTTCTTTCAATTATTGATATTTGATTGGATATTTCCCTTCAAGATGAGATTTTTTTATCTCTGACCTTGATTTCTCTCTTTACCTTTTAAACTTTAAAAATCTTTGATTGTTCTAATCTAGTCTAGATTATATAAACTATGTTAATTTGTGGTTTATTTTTTTCGAGTTAACAGGTTGGCATTGTCTTTTCTTGGACCAATTTAATCATACTTTAGGGGTTTTTGGAATTTTGTTAAAGACTTAGTAATTATAATGATGTTCTATAGAAGCCTTACATGGAACTTGTTTTTATGTCTTCTTGTATAGCCGAGGGAGCAGTTCCTGAAGGTGGGATTAAGCAGAAGAACATGGCAGCCGTTCAAGGAGGAAGAAACCGGCGAGCACTTGGAGATATTGGGAATCTTGTAACTGCTCATGCTGTTCTTGAAGGCAAACCCCTTCCTCACAGACCAGTGACTAGGTTGTTAATTATTTTCCCATCTCTTTTGCTATATTTCATTTCCATTCATAGTTGTTGATAGATTTATAATGTCCCTTATTTTTCCTGTTTGCGTAGGAGTTTCCATGCTCAAATGCTAGCTAATGCTCAGGCAGCAGCTGCAGAAAACAACAAGGTCTGACTCTCACTCACCACTTTCTCATTATACTGAACTTGTTGACATAGCAATTTAATTTAAGCCTTTTTTTTATGGTGCTTGATTTTCAGAAATGTCTGCCAGTTGAAGTGGAAAATGAAAGAGTTTTTGGTGCCAAGGCCAAGAAACCAGTTCAGAGAAGACCTGTTGTTAAGAATAAGCCTAAGCCAGAGGCTGTTATCGACATAAGTTCTGATTCGGAGCAAGTGAAGGTGGTAGACAAAAGGGAGAAGAGAACAAATGGTGGCAAGAAAGCAGCACCAACTCTCAGTTCTACTCTCTCAGCAAGAAGCAAAGCTGCATGTGGTTTGAACAAAAAAACCAAGGATGTAACGGTAGTAGATATTGATGCTGCTGATGTGAACAATGAGTTAGCAGTTACAGAGTATCTAGATGACTTGTACAAATTCTACAAGATTGCTGAGGTATATATAACATTGTCAAGAACAAGTTTTAATTTACACTTCTGAAACTGAAGTTTTTCCCTTTCTGTGACTGATTTTGTGTTAAAAAATCCTTCTGTGCAGAAAGAGAGCAGAGTTGGTGACTATATGCATTCTCAACCCGACATTGATGACAAAATGAGGGCAATTCTGATTGATTGGTTGATTGAAATTCATCGCAGATTTGAACTTAGCCAAGAGACTCTTTACCTTACCATCAATATAATTGATAGGTATCTTGCCATCAAGGCTACTCCAAGGAAGGAGCTACAGTTACTTGGTATGGGTGCAATGCTTGTTGCTTCAAAATATGAAGAAATCTGGGCACCTGAGGTATAAACAAAATTGTATTCTGTGTATTAGGTTTCAGTTAACATTTTCAAGGCCAACATTATTAATATCTTTCTGAAAATGTGCCAAAATGGATGCAGGTGAATGACCTTGTATGCATCTCAGATGGAGCTTATACTCACGCTCAGGTGCTCACCATGGAAAAATGCATTCTTGGTGAATTGCAATGGACTTTGACAGTTCCAACACCATATGTGTTCCTGGTGCGCTTCATCAAAGCCGCTATTCCTGACTCGGACATTGTAAATTCTGTTTCTTTTCCAAGCTTCTAGTATCAGGCTATTTTGATTTTTCACACTGAAGCACATTCTAACTTGACCATTTTCTCTCTGATTTAAAACTATCAGATGGAGACCATGGTTTACTTCCTTGCAGAACTTGGGGTGATGAATTATGCAACCATCACTTACTGTCCATCAATGATTGCAGCCTCAGCAGTCTATGCAGCTAGATGCACCCTCCAAAAGACACCTCTTTGGGACGAAACTTTGAAACTCCACACGGGTTTCTCTGAGTCACAACTATTGGACTGTGCGAAGCTACTTGTCACCTACCATGCTATGGCTGCAGATCACAAGTTGAAAGCAATCCACAAGAAGTACTCGAGCATCGAAAGGGGAGCTGTTGCCATATTGCCTCCTGGAAAATCTCTTTTGGAGTTGGCATAGTTAGTAGATTAACAGAGAAAATGGTGGACTAGTTTTTCTGGAAGGGTGTGTGTATAAATTCAAAGCTTGCTTGAAATGTTGGATGTAAAGTTCACTGGAGGAACAATTTATTAGGTGTATCTCCTTGCAGCTAGGTAAGGAGGATTTTTCTTGTGCATAGTTATTTTCCTGGTGAAATATCAGTATCAAGATCTTCAATTCTGGTTCCTAAAGGCTATGTTACCCAGACTCTTCTATTTGAGGAGAATACCCGTGTCGTGTAGTGTCTGACACTAGTGTGGGTATGAGTGTCGGGTGTGACATTTTAGCCTAAAATGTCCAAGATTTCTAAAATATTGACGAGTCGGACAGTCAGATCCCCGCACCCGATACGACACCCGTATCCGAGTCTAGGTAACATAGCCTAAAGATATAGTTCCCAACTGAAAGAATAAAGCAGATTAAAATTTTATATTTGTCAACACTAGAGTTAATCTTAATATGTTTAATCCTCTTGTGAAACTTGGGATTCAAAACAATACAAGGAGCAGATTGATTATTGCCATTTTTACTAGCCAATTTCATGCACTGCGAGTACAATAACTGAGGGAAAAAAAGACAGGCTGAAATGTCCATATATTTCTCTTCTAGTTTTGCTAAACTAGTATTGGTGTCAACCAAAGTGGACAAGAATAATAACTAGGGTAATCTGCACCAAAGTAAAAGGGTTCAACTGTTCCTTCAGCCACATTGTACACTCCACAATCACGGTCCACCAAGTACTCATCAAACCTCCACCAGTTCTCCACTTTGCTACCAATGAAATAGATGCTATTGCCTTTACATTTCACAAACTTGGCATCAGCAGTGCAGATCGAAATCGTAATATTGTCACCAACAAATAAAGCTCGATCTCCCAAATCCTTCAACTCTATCCATTCCTTGTCCGAAAAATCGAACTTGAAAACTTGGAATTGTACTGGCTCAACAGAAGGATGATTAATCATGTGTTCAACATACAGATTTTGGTAAACCATCAAGAGATCTCCTTCTAAGTGCACCCGTTCGCGAGCCCAGCGCTGCTTCGGTGGAATACTCGGCATGATCTCAATGACCCGCGAACCGACATCCACAAGCAAAAGGTTTCCTGAGGCTGAAAAGGCAAAGATTTGATCATTAACACATGCAACATCCAGGAACCTGTGCTGGAAAGTTTCCTCAACATTTATCCATGAAGAATAGCCTGGTTTGGCAAATGCTAGCTGCTTAAATGGACCATAAATTGCCATAACAAGAAATTCCACTTCATTTACACTATCATTTGATTGGCTTGGTTTCCTAATGACAATGGCCTTGTCTATCAATTCGTACCAATTCGCGCTCGCGTTGAACAGGATCTGGAATGTGGTTGCAGAAGGAAGTAAAACCCGAACTCGCGAAAAAGCGTTTACAAGATGGATTTCCATGTCACTGCCAATAGTTACAAGCCAACCATCTGAAGAACCCCAACACCTTCTTCCACTTGCTTCGGGCAACTCGGTCTCGTATACTTTGTCCCTATACAAGCTAAAGAAACATTTCTTACTAGCCTTTTCGTCGTCTGAAAGCATCAACCATGGCAGCTGAGATCCTGGAATCCATTGTTTGATCAAATAGAAAGATCTCCAGGAGCGACAAACAGCCGAAAAGGCGAGAAAATCCTCAACAGCATCCAATCGAACTGCAATGCTTTCGACAATGTCGTGTGGAAGTTGGGACCAATCGGCCATATAGGATAATATAACTGGTTTATCAATAACAGAGAAAACAGAAGTCAAGGTTGCGATTTTCCAAATATAGCAAACATTTTGAACTCAAAACTGGACTGTTTAACATATGAATCAAGTCACTAAATAACTTGATCTCCTGATTAAATTTCAGGGATTTCGACCACAATAACAAATGTATTGTTTGAAGGCACAAAGAATCAACAATGTCCAAGTCTAAATCAATGAAGAAATTGAAGCTCTAACACACAGATAAAATGAGCAATATTCAATCCAACTTCAACAACAATATGTTAAGGATAGTGAACTTACCTCGATCAAACCGAATACCCGAAAGGAACTGAGGATTTAGAGAGAACAGAGTAAAGAGAGATTGTGTGGAGCTCCAAGATTCCAGCTGATTTATCCAAGCAATTCAACCTTTTGATGAAAAAGCAAACATTACATAGGAAGAAAAGTCAAGGGACAAATCTCACACGGCATTTACCAACATTGGTTTGACGGATCATTGGATTTTTTTTTTTTTTTCTTTGTTTTGCATGTCATTTCATATACTTCTTCCCCCCATAACCCGTCTTAAATTGGACCTGTGACGTTCTTATCATCTAAACACTCTTATAAAATCAATTAATAAACATATGACATTCAAGTCTATATGTGTCTCAAAATACTGATCCACTTTATTATTCTTTTTTCGTCAAACAAACTGAATTTTTATTTTTTTTTTGGGAGAAGGATTGAGTGTTAATTGTTCAATTTTCTTCTCTTTATTATAATTGTTCTAAAATTGAATTATTATTATGGGACCGAACTAGTACTAATGTAGTTTTATTTTCGTACAAATGCATTTTGTTACTCCTAGAATCTGATGATGATGATGATGATGATTATTATTATTATTATTATTATTATTATTATTATTATTATTATTATTATTATTATCATCACTACTAGAAAAATACCTCTTAGAGACACTTTAAAATGCCTTAATACCTTGGTTATAAAGACACTTACACTTATTAAGGCATTTTGTAAAAGTGCCTCTAAATTCAATGTGATAATAGGTTTAGTGTAATTATATATATTTTTTGAAGACATTTAGCAAATGTTGTAACAAATAATTTATGAAGGCACTTTAAACTCTCCAAGAAATAATCGTAGAGGCACTTTAAGTGTCTTCATATAATAGCTTTTACGTCATTTATATGTTCACAGTTTCAATGGGCTTTATTTTATTTTTTTCTAATTATTCTCATAAATACTTTTCATCAAAATTATAAAATTTTCAATAAAAATAAATTTTCCATTTCATTAATAAAAGCCAAAGAGAGAGTACAACCAAACAAAGCATTACGGGAATAAAAACAACGTTAATCTTCCATTTGTCCTGCACTTCATTCTAATACTATCAAATACATCCACACTATTTTCTACAACTAAAATGAGAACACATGATTTGCAACGACAAGCCATGAATCTGAAGAATTCTCCAAGAGGTGATGCCTACTCAATTGTATCCTTCAATTCGCCTAGCCTCTACATTGACTCCACTCAAATTGAAAATTTCCTCTTCTATTTCATTTTCCCAGTCTAACAGAATGAAAGAAATAAGTTGAGTACATCTTGACTGTCCCTCTTCCTTCTTTTAGACAAGGGCTGCAAAATTTTCAAACCATATCAAAACCTCTTTAATAATACTAGAGAGAAGAAAATGAACACCAGATTCATATTTCTCCATTGACTAGTAACTACAATCAAACACATATAAAATCAATTTCCAATTTTCAAATAAATTGAATGTTATTCTGTAAAATGTTAACTTAATTAAGGGAAAACAAATTATCCCATACGCTAAAACAATCTTTAGCTTCATCATAATATAGTGAGATTACAACACTGGAAAGAAAATTTAAGGGTTACTTGAATTAATTACTTTTCAAAAGCTAAAGCACAATGGACTAAAAACAACAACAAAGTTACCTCCGAGCATCAGCGGCGGCATTTTCAAATAGGAAATTAGCGCATCCAGAGCCTATTCTTGTTCATGCTCTATTTAAATCTACCACAAATGTTCAATAAAATAGGCATCACGCAGAAAAATCAAAATTGAAATGAAGTAAAAAAATCCCAAGATCTAAAAAGATACTAATTCACCATACACTAATCTGTGGAGGTCGAGAAAAATTAACATCGTACAATGACCAATTAAAAACCCTAGCTTACCGAATTCATGGAGGGGAGGGTCCTTAAACGGCATCCTAGCCCATGACAACGTTAATCCTCCGAGATTTGTATCCGCAATATCCACACCCCAATACTTCCGTCGCGGCTACTTCTTGCGAAAAATATATAGCATCTCGACTACTGTATCACGCAGTTCTCGAGAGCCCTTAGCCTAGAAGAGCAATTCAAAAATTACTGTATCAGAAGGGATGCGAAGAGACTGAAACAGAAACATCCGGAGTAAAAATAACTAAAATATGAGTATTTTTAATGGTAAAAATATGTAAAATAATTGGATATAAGTCTTGGAAGTTATTTTACCCAAAAATATCGCATATACAATCAATGTGGCGTTGAGGAGAGATAATGACCAAACTAATTTTATTTTAATTTGTTTTTAATTGAATGAAATGTCATAAAAGCTGAATGCGACTAGAAGCTATTAATGATGACATTTTTAAATAAGCGTCCTTAATCCTTTGGAGTTTGGTGTATTAAAAACCTTTTTTCTAGTAGTGTATTATTATTATTATTATTATTATTATTATTATTATTATTATTATTATTATTATTCTACACCTCATGCTTATTTTCATATTTTAGATCGAATAAACCTAATTTTGAGATGGAGGGAGTATTCTTTCTCTTACAAAAAGTTGGAAGAGCAAATGATACATTTCAAAAAAGAAAAAAGATGTTCATAGCTTGAGAGAATTCTTATAAAGAAAAGAAAAGGAAATAGAAAGGTTAAAAGAAGGTTATGAATAATTTCATTAGTGCCTACAATTCCGTGTAAGAATTAGTAGATTGTCAACTACCAGACACCAGATAGTAAATAGGGCTCAATAGAGAATAAATAGGGCTCTGGTACGAGGATCGGATATAATTTTTTGTAATAAAAGAAGTAAAAGCCTAACCTAATTCTATGCCGGATTGGTTAATAAGGACGGGTTAGCTTGTACGTCTTAGAAAAATAGTTCACATTCACTTTTAAAATTTATAATAAAAATACAATAAATCTCAAAATTCAATGTAAACTATTTTTTGGGATAAGAGATATATAGAGTCAATTATAAAACCCTAGGTAGGGTTTAGGACATGTGTGCGTAATTATTCGTCAACATAAAGAAGTTCTGCTATACTTTGATGATACATACCTCGTAAAAATTTTCCCACTGACTTCCTCCTTAGAGAAACAATTCGGAATTTCCAATATTTTGTAGGTTAAGTTTATAAGATTTGGATTGAGTTTTTGCCTTCATCGAAAGATGCTTACTACTGGTGTATGATATACTACAAGGATTCGGATTTGCACAATCGGTGGTTTTGTTTACTAGGGATGAACAATAAGCTGCAAACAATCAAAACAAGTATACATCAACTGTAATCTGCAATTTTTTGCATTAAAAACTTTTTAATATATTACTCAATTATTGCCTAGTGTTTGACACTCTCGGGATTCTTATTGCAGGTGATTTTGAAGTGCAGTGGCTTTAGGTTTTTGTGTTGGCGGACCATGACGTTTACGTGTCTACGTAAGTTGTGGAATAGCTGGAGTTGGAGAAGTAAGCAGCAGAAAGAAGAGCTCGAAAACCCGAATGGCGACCCTCTGAATCCGAATTCATTGCTGGATTCAGATACCTTGACGAAGAGCATGGACTCTTCTTACTACAGAAGAGTTAAGAAACAAAAGCAAAAGAGTCTAGAGGAGAAGAAACTTGAGAAAGAGCATGATGTTGTTGTAGTTCCGGCAGACGGTTTTTCAGGCTCTGAATCAGAATCAGATGATTCAGACTGGTCGATTGGATGGTTGGAACCCCATAGTTCAATCACCGAATCAGACGACAGTTTTGCTGTGCTTGTTCCCTGTTACGGACATCGATCCGAGGGCGATAAGTATTCTAAAGGCAAGCATCTTCCGGAGAAGTATTCCAAGGGCATTGCTGATGATCTGTATGGTGATGAACAGAGCAAGAAGAATGTGGAACAGTGGTTTTCCTCTTTGAAAATCCTGAGTCAATCAGCGATCTTCTAAACTTGGATTCATGAATTCTTCTGGAACAGTTGAATTCAACTGTTCTTGATATCCATATCCTCAATGCTTTAGAAGATCTTTGTTTTATTTGTTACTTTCCCCGTCCTAAAAATGATGTCATCTTGTAGTTAATCTGGGACGGGGAATAAACAAAATCTCTTTTCTTGGTTGTCTGCAAAGTCAGGATACTATATTTGAACATTTTCCTCATTTTGAATCGACAATTGTGATTTCATTTGAAGACTTTGTAACATGAAGCAACAACTCCTAGGAGACGCTACAATGAAACCCAAAAAAGAAAAATAAACATATTGTACTTTCAAAACGACCTAAAAGGTTTGATAGTTATTATGTATTAATAATTCTGCCACCTAAAATCATATATATTATCATGCAGCTAATAGGATGAAAGCAAATCTTATTGCTTACAAAGGAGCAGCGACCTCATTCTAGCAAGTCAGAAACCGCTGTTTTTTTAAAAGGATCTATCTGAGCCAACTGAGCTGCCAACGCGCGATTTGGGAAGATATTGTCAGCCCTCATCCTGTCGTAGAACCCGTAGGCAGGAGTCTTCGCGTTAATATAGGCCTGCGCAAGCGACTGAAACGGTCTAGCACGTGATACATATCCCACCTTTCTCATTCTGTGGAACATCTTCTCTGCATTATGTACATCCCCATTTTTCGCGTACTGATCCATGATAGTCATAAAAGAAGTAAACAATGGCCTCAAGCTATTCTGTTCTGTAGCCTTCTGCAGAATGGAATCAGCTTTTCCCACCTCCCCAGCATCAACATGAAGCTTAACAAGTGCATCCCAAGTAAACGGCCCTATTCTGCAATTACTCTCAGCCATACGCTTCACAAGATCTCTCCCTTTGTCCAGCAACTTATGATTGGCATACACTTGCAAGAGTGCAGAGTAATGCTTTGATGACATCTTACTCCATTTCTTTGACATCGTATTGAAAACAGCTTCAGCTTCTTCAATTTTATTTAATTTACCCCAAGCTTCAATAGCTGCCACGCATTCGAGAAATCGTGGATTAGGTTCACAAATTTTCCAGATTCTTCCAACATCATCAGCTTTCTTTAGATCTGCATACAGAGGTAGTAAAGAGTACATGGCCCAACGACTCTCCTTTATATCTATTCCTTCCATCTCTTTCAACAGGTTCTCAGCTTTCTCCTTCAGCCCAGCAAATGTGTAGTGCTTAGCTAATAAGCATTTTATCGCAAAATCAGGTTCTTTGCCTTCTTCCTTCATTGTCTCTACAATTTTTTCCATCCCTTCAATGTCATTTGATTGCCCTTTAGTATCAATCAGAAGCTTATATGTGACCAGAGATGGCTTAACGTCTTCTTTCTCCATCAACAAGAGGACATCAGCAATTTTCTTCTTGTCACACCTTTTATATAGAAGAAGCAACTGATTGCAAGCAAAGGTTGTAACCGGGAACCCCAGATCTTTCATCTTGTTGAACACATCCTCAGCTTTCTTTATATTTGCTACTGAAACACAATTAGCCAAAAGCGTCCGATAAACAATTTCACCTTGAAATGATTTTGGAATGCTCTCAAGGTAATTCTCAGCCTTCTGAAGACCACGCACTTTATAAATCAAATCAAGACGAGAAGCATGCTCCCTCTCACCAAACTCATTGCCACTCGACTCCAACCACTCAGAAAACTGCCAATAACAGCCAAGATAACGTGAATAGGCATCCAAAAGAAGAAAAGTTTTGTACTTTTAAGGGGCTCTATCACTTAATATTTAAATCAAATAAAGAGAAGATTCCCATTTCTACATGGAGATCCCTAGAGGACAAGGGGCAAGAAGAAAGATTTTGGCAGAGCAGCTATCTTATCAAGCCTTTGTTAAAAACAGAGCAAAAGGTAACAAGCAACGCCAGCTATTTTCCATGAAGTCGACGATCTCAATCTATCAAACCCGACGAGTCTAAAGGTAAGCATTTTCTCTCTAAATTATCAATACATCTCGAAAAAAGTATACCAGCGCATGATTATCTTTCCTCTCTAGTAAATGACTATCTTATGACACCAATTTGAATCTAACAAGAGTAACTCATTGATGGGGACAAGGAATGGTAGAAGAACCCTATCAGTAGGTTCTTCCATATTTACGCCCAGGATTATCATGATCCGAGGAAGGAGCCAAAGTGTTAGGACTTTGGTTTAGTTAATCCTTTATTAAGCAGTAATTTAATTAGTTTATTTCAGTATTAATATTTAGGAAAGGGTATTTTAGTATATTAGTTATGCTGCAGGATTTTCTTGCAATAAAAAGGAAATTAGGTGAGAATCCTAGTTGTCTTTGGTTTAGGTTAAGTTTAGACCTATATATATATACCTCGTTTGAGGGTTTTAGACAGTTTATAAGATTAATAAAATTCCTGCGAGCTTTTGCTTTCAGCAACAGTTAGTGACCAGAATGTTTCTAAGGAGGAAGGCTGTGTTCAGATTCAAAATTTTGAAGAGCAACCTTTAGTGGAATCTAATCCCCTTGTTCATGAAGTTCCTGAATTTTCATAAGTTAAGGTTGTAGCTTCTGTGGTCCAAATATCTGCAGAGCATATAATGGTGAATTACATTGGAGTGAGTGCTGCTTATACAGGTCAAGAAAATATTTATATGGACCTTGATGTTCAGAATTCCAAGGAGCCATGCAAAGAAAAAACTGCGAGTGATTTGATAGGATCTTCCGCATTTCAGAAACTTCAGAAATCTAAGCTTAATGAGGACACTGATAAACCTATGATTCATGTTGCTCAAAAACTTCCAGAGGAGATTGTAATCGCACATTCAAAGGTTCAGAGTGCTACATTGAAGTTCTTTGAAACCCATATAGTTCCAGGAAGCAATCTGAGGTATCATACTAGTAAAGAGACTAAGGTCAATGAAATCACAGAACCAACAGACACTTGTAAACTGAATGAGTTTGATGATAAACCAAAAGAAGTACCACTTCTCAATCCTGATCAGATTCAAGGGGAAGTAGCTAAAGGAGGTGCTCCACTGAGGAATATTCTACATTCTACATTGGAGGGAGATTCTGGTTTGTGTGAGGAGTCAACTGAAATGATGCATGAAAATCTTGCTACAAGTGTGAATGAAATTCTTGTGAAGTTGAATCAAACTTTAGAGATATGTCATTCAAAAGTTTATGATCCTGGAATTCCGAAAATTGATTTCATTCTTGGAGAGGATTATGATAACAAATCAGCAAGCCGGTTCCAAACTCTTATACCTACATTTGGGCGAAGAAAGTTTTCTCACGGTGAATATGCTGCAGTGCCATGGCTTATGTTTCAGATTGTTGGGTTCTTCATTCTCAGACATTTTAGAACTCGAGGACGAGTTTTTTCTAACCAGGGGAGAATGATGCAGACAAAGAAGGGTCTAAGAACTCTATCATTAGGATATTCTATTCTTATGCCCAGGATTATCATGATCCAAGGAAGGAGCCAAAGTGTTAGGACTTTGGTTTAGTTAATCCATTATTAATTAGCACTTTAATTATATTATTCTCAGTAATAAGTTTTAGGAAAGGGTATTTTAGTATATTAGCTATGCTGCAGGATTTTCTGGAATAAAAAGGAAATTAGGATTGAATCCTAGTTGTCTTTGGTTTAGGTTAAGTTTTAGGCCTATATATATATGTACCTCGTTTGAGGGTTTTAGACAGTTTATCAGATCAATAAAATTCTTGCAAGCTTTTGCTTCCAACAACAGTTGTGTGTGACTCAACTAAACCCTTGGTGTGACGCCTAGGAATCATGCGGTGTGACGCCAAAGGGCCCTAAGAATGATTCTTAGGTTTTCTTCTTCTTCCTACTGATTATCCCTGTTTTCCTGTGATTTCTGCCCTTATTCCCTACAGTTTTCTATTGATTTTCCACTGCATACTACTCTTTAATCAGCCTAAGTTCTGATTTTCTCAACCACCACGTTTGTGCTGCGTCAGTTTGGCATCAGAGCCGAATTTCCTGGGGTTTTAATACTTTTTCTGATCAGATTGGAATTGATTTTCCTGATGAATTCTGTTTTCAAAAGGGTTTAGAGATCAACAGCTATGAATCCCCATAGCATAGGTTATCCTACTTGGCCTTCTAGTTCAGAAATCGTTGAGGAAGATGAGCAGGAGTACAATGATGATGAAGAGGAGATGGGCATGGTTGATACTGATGATTTGGAAGAGGTAAGACGATGTTGCTATGTCCTATCTTTCACTAATTTGGCGAATTTCTTGAGCACCAAAAACAGGAGAGGAAGATTGGAGAAGGACAGAAGTCTTTCAGACATTGGTTTATTGTGGGAAAGCTGTCAAGAAAGTGATTATAGATGGCGGTAGTAGTGCTAATTTGGTTTCTGAATCCACTGTGGAAAGGCTGAATTTAAAAACAGAGCCACATCCATACCCACATAAGGTTGGTTGGATTAATGGCACAACTATTCCTGTTACTAAGTGTTGCTTGGTAGACATCAAAAGAGGGAGGTATGTTGATTCTATATGGTGTGATGTTATTCCCATGAATGCTTCACATATAATCTTAGGAAGACCCTGGTTATATGATCGGGAAGTAAAGCATGATGGTAAAGCCAATACCTATTCCTTTAACTTCAACAACATGAAAGTTGTTTAGAAGCCCCAGACTGATGAATATATGATGAAGCATTGCTCAACTAAGCCAAAAAGGGATCAAGTGGTTCCTGAGGTCTCAGCTCTGAATGTTACTAAGGAGGAGGAAAAAGTTTCTGGTCAGAATTCTACTGAAGCTACAATTGAATTTGATTTGAATCAAGTAGAACAAAATAAGAAAATTCTTAGTTGTCCTACTGCAGATGGAAAACCTGGTCTTAATGTTATTGATTTTCAGACAGAAAAACCTCCAAAACCACCTGATTTTTCAGGGCTCACACATACTTTTATTAGCATTGCTGCGGATGTGTGCAGGGAGGCTGTTCAGAAGCAAAATTTGGTTGAGCCTGCAGAAACGTTCAGGATGAACCTATTGGTCATTTAGTTCAAGACAGTAGCTCGCTGGTCCTTGTGGCTCAGGGAACTACAATGGAACACATTGAGGTTCAGAATGCTGCAATGAAGTTTGTTGAAAGCCATGTAGTTCAAGGAAGTAACCCGACGGATCATACTAGTAAAGAGACTAAGGTCAATGAAAGCACAGAACCGACAGAAACTTGTAAACTTTATGAGTCTGATGCGGACGTGAAAGAACTACAACTTCAGAAATCTCAGCTTAATGAGAACACTGATAAACCTGAGATTTGTCAGCTTAATAAGTTTGATGATAATGCAAAAGAAGTACAACTTCACAACCTTGGTGAGGTTAAAGAGGAAGTATCTAAAGGAGGTGCCCTGCTGAGGAAAATTTTACATTCCACGGTGGAGGGAGATTCTGGTTCGTGTGAGGAGTCTACTGAAATGATGCATGGAAACCTTGCTACAAGTACGAGTGAAATTTTTGTGAAGTTGAATGTAAAAATGAAGTTCCCGATCTATCTTATATAAACTGAAATGAAACATTCTATGTTGATTAAAAGGAGTTATGAGACTCAAGACAGGGAAAGAAACAATGATAAAAGAAAGTTTATATCCTACAGGAAAATAAGTAAAAGGAGAACTTTATAAGGATTTACCGCCTGGTGTCACAATTTTTTAAAAAAGACGATTAACCACAGCAAAAGTACTAGCGCAAGCACATATAAGAATCATTGCCATTCGACATGATATATCATATTATCTTTTCAAGGCAAATGAAACTTTTCCCTACACTTGTTTTCATGATTCCCATAAGCATTTAAGTTTTTTTTACCTGTAAAGCCCTTCCAAACATCCGAAGCTTACGAAGACTGAGCATTGTTGATGCTATGTCTGACCTAGTCAGCTCATTTCCTTCCTCAATCCATTTTCCAACAACCTTATGGACCGGCAAACGTGGAGCAGCCAAGATGGCCTTAGACAATTCTCGAGAATCTGCTCTCCCTACATATTTCTTATCATGATCTCCCTCTGTTTCTGATAATTCAAGCTCCCCGGGTCTGCTCACATCAATATCTTCATTATCAACTTCAAGGTCCGGTTCAGAACTTAAATCATCGTCACCGTCATCAAGCACATGGTTTCCTTCACTAGGAACAGAGGCTGTTGAAGATTCAAGCTCTGAAAAACCCTCGTCCAAGTCATCACTATCTTCTCCACTGCTTTTTGTTCCAGCAAGCGAAGAAAAGCAACCAGCACCCATAAGTGATTTTGGAGAATTACATCTGGTGCTAAAAAATTGTTTCAGGAACCGGGATCCATCAGTTACCATGGTCCCAGAACCATCATATTCTGAAGTGCAAGTCTCCAGTGAACATCGTACTGTTTCTAACTCCACAAAGCCGAACTGGGAAGTACTCGCCCATAATCGTTGTTTCCTAGAGGAACGTTATAAATCAAATAAATGTCAGTTGATATTGATATTACCCAACATGCAAGGGAGTATTTAAGTCATTGCACTTTAGCATGTCAACTTTTTCTGATTAGAAGGTCAAATCTACATAGACATAACAAGAAACCACGCAGTCATCCGAATGATGCTACCAAAAATCTAGGATGTTCCTTTATATTTGTGCAGAAAAATACATGGAGAACGAGCAATAATACTCCTCAAATTCAAATTGGTCAATGCATATGGAAAACTCAATACTCCAATTCAGAACTACAAACTTTTCGTACTCCCATTCAAGTTTTCTTTTACATTTGTCTAGAACTGGTAATCCCAGTAAGATGATGGAAACAAACTAACGAACCTCAGAAAAAATCTTCACATGAAAATAAATCCCCCATTTAATAAAGCCAAATCATTGTCCTTTGCAGCGGTTAGAAAGTTACAAAGGGAAAGAGCAAATTCATAGTGAGCACCCAGATAATTTCCTCTATCTTGGAGCTCTCGATGCACGAAACAACATCATTAAGTATACTCGTATAAAACATACACATAACATGCGGTCTTTCTCTCCAGTAGAGAGGAAGTATGCTAGAACCAGGACTTATTGATGACTGCAAAAAAAAAAACTTTAGCCGATAAGACAACAAGCACTTTTCTCCATGTCAAATCAGCATGCCTTCCATGTTAACAATATAAATATTTCAATCATCTATTCAATTTTGAAGACTAACGGAGAGGCTAAAGAATTTGGTTGAAAATATTAGAAAAGAATTAATTACTTTGTGTTGCCGATGCACATGATGGCAAAATATGATATCCAGACATCGGATACTGGGATGATAACAAAGTCAAGTTCAAATGTCAAACAGACCTTGAGGGGAGGTACAACCCAAAAGAAGAAAACAAAAGCCCTTGAGAAGTCTGTCACAACGGCAATGTACACAAGTCACATTCCAAACATTTCCCAATTGCCAAAGCTTTGGCCTTCACCAAAACAGAGAATGGATCTAAAATTCATTTGTCCAAAATTGGTGAGAAAACCATCACAATGGTAACAATCAGACACACACAAAGGAGGGACTAGATGCTCTGTTACCCTAAAATTTAAAAGGAAATCTGAAGTTCAAAAACTTCATCTTGTAGCAGCAGAATATCTTTTTTAATGCTTACAGAACTTTCTCCTTTTTCAAAGGGACAACAAACGGAAGCACACCAGAATAGTCTTAAGTTGCTTATAGACTGAATCAAAGTGATCGGAGTTCCATCAAACAAGAGTACCAAACTAAAAGCATTCATCTGAGGAACCTCCTAACTTTCAAAGATGCATTTTGGTAAGATCATATTACTATAATTAAAAGCAAGAACACAAAATAAAGGAAAATTCAGGTGTTTTTCCTATTAAGAATTTCAGAGACAAAAGAAAAGTCACTTGTGAACCCTTTATAGTGACAGATTCACTATTTCAACAAGAACCCTCAACAAAATTAGCGGTCTAGTAAACGACGAAACGACTTTCATAGCGACAGAAACAAACGGCAGAAGTAAGCACATAGAATATACCTTCCCCATTCAACAAATCGGCTGCAACCCATGAAAGAAAAACCCAAAACACAATGAATTTCCACCGGTAAATTAACCCCAATCATCGTCAATCATTACGGAACTCCAGCTCAACTTCATATTGCATTTCGCCGGGCGGGCCATTCGAAACCGAAAAAACAAAAACACAAAAATGTGCCACAAAAGAAACTTAGAATGAGAAGGGGGAAACTACCTGAAGGGATTCAAGACTCGTCGGAGAGGCAACATGATCAAACTGAACTATGTTTTCTCTGAGAATTTCGCCTTTTCCTTTTACAGAGTTGTGAATGAAATGAGTACAGAGAGAGTGAACCCTTAAACCCTAGCAGAAATGCCTAAAAGGCTAAAACCCCTCTATTTGTCTGCGTTTTTTTTTATAGATAATCGTGTTGTGGTACTTGTAGTTGGGACACTTTAATGGTAAAGTGCAAATCCTAAATAGTCCTTATATTTTGTGACATTTGTGAATAAGTTTCTTACATATCTACTTCTTACTATATTAGAAACAAAAACCACATTTAAGAGAAAGCATCACAATTTGACATGTGGTATTTCCACATCATATTTTTAAAATAAATATAGTAAGAAACAAAAACCACATTTAAGAGAAAGCACCACCATTTGACATGTGGCATTTCCACATCATATTTTTAAAATAAATTTTTATTTCCACATCTCATAAACTTAAAAGGCAAATGCAGTCCAAATTTATTTCCACCTCCTATTTTCGTCAAAACAAACAAAAAAAAAATCACGGGTTCATAAAAAACCCAAATCCTCATCCCCATCGCCATGAAAATCGACTCCTTAATCAATCCCTTCTCCACAATTAAAAAAATAAATAAATTTCTCATCAATCATCAATTGAGAATATGTGGTGAAATATACTCCTTTCCTATTAGCATGTTTAATCTTTTCATTAGTGATGATCAACTACATACTAATCGGATAAAATTTTAACTTCAAAAAATATTCTCTTTACCTTTCTATATAAACACAAAGGAAAAAAAATCTCATTGATCTTGCTTCGGCCGTTGTGGTAGTGTCATTATAGGTATTAAAATTTAAATGATTTTATTTCCACAGATAATTGGTTTGGCTTTTATTATTTTTTATTTTTCCCGTTCAAGAATAGTGTTATTACTATTATTTTTATGCGTCCATCCGTTACAGCTACCGGAGCTGTTGTCAGATAGTATGATGTGATTTCTTATTTGGTTAGTTAGTCTAGAATTTTTGTAAGATTTTAGTTATGTTTGGATTGAATTGATTGATTGAGTTTTTGTTACAAAGTGTGGTTTTTAAAAAATTTTTTTTATGTTTCATTCAATTAGAGTGGTTTTCTTTTTTTAATTATGGAGTCTCGGGTTCTTTTTCATATATGGCCAGTTATGAAGTGTGTTTTTTCTTTGTTTAATTGCTTTTGATTTTGTTTCATACTCCCAGTTGACCAATTATTATTATTATTATTATTATTATTATTATTATTATTATTTGCAAATGAAGCACATTTTTTTTTGTGTTCGGGGTTTCAAGAATATACTTTTTTGTATTTGGTTTTTGGACTTTTTTTAGTTCCTCATCATATAAATAGTTCAGGGCGCTTCTTTTAACTAATTTGCGGGGAAACCTTTTATGAATTTGAGGTGGAGAGGGAAGGAATGATGTTTCTACGTTTATTTGTATTTTTATACATCATTTTTACCTACAGAAAAAAAAAATTCTCAAATTTTAATGGGCTATCTTTTATTTTTATTTGCCATGGTGAGGTGAGTTCTTTTTTGCTATATCTTGAAACCTATGCAAATTTACAGTATTTTCATTCTCATATTTGTGATCAACCAATTTCAATAATTAACCAGTATCAAAATCAGATTTTTGATATTTTACTACCTATAAACTTTTGGAAGAAATAGTTCCAACAATTAAGTGTATACCCTTTGGAGGAAGCTAACTACAAAGTTATTATAAATCTCCAAAACTAAGTATTGATTTGGCACAACCAATGGAGAATATCAATAAATTATCTTACTAATATTTAAACTTATTAGGATGCTTTTATATTTTTTCTAGCATTTACTTCAAGACATATATTTGATCAAGTTTATTTATATTTAAGAAGTAACACTTATAAAACATTTCTAAAATCTTCAAACATTTCTAAAACGTACCGGGTCAAATACAATTTATTTTTATGCCAAATACAAACATCACACTTATAAAACATTTCTAAAATTCTTCAAATATTTCTAAAATATATCGGGCCAAATACAAAATATTTTTTTTTCAGATACAAACATTTCTAAGATCTACAGATATATTGGGTCAGGGTCACGCATTGCGTGACCAGACATCACTAGTATAATATAAAGAGGGAATGGCAAATCTTGACACGGTTTCTTCCAAGTTGCCTCTCCCTTTTGGTGACGTGGCGATAAGTGATTGGACCCCTTCTTCTTCCATTTGGGTAGTTCGCTCTTTTTGCCTCGCGGCCTCATTCGGTTGCCAATATACAGTCCATTTTTCTTCCACGTGGGCATTCTTTGTTCAAATCCAAAGAATTCTTCTGTTTTTTAAAATTAATTTTTATGTTTCCAGTTCTTTCCTCCACCTCTTTCTGCTCTTGCTTCATGTTATCGATCTTTTAGAGCTTCAGGTCTAAAAATAGCATATGGGTTTATTTTTGCTGCAAAATTTGCTTCTATGTCTTTTTGCTACGGGGAGTAAGTCGAAAGTTGAACGAAGAACTTTTGAATTACTGGTCTGGTTTGGAGGCCAGTCACTCTCTCCAGTTGTCTATTGAAGTCCGCAAATCGATCGACCACTTTCACTGATTCTTTCGATTTCGCCTGTATCTTCTCCATGTCGGCTTTGTCTTCTCCGGTTTTGCCAAGGGCCTGTTTAGATCTTTTGTGGCAGCGGAGGCGTATAGATTTAGTAGGGACAAGAAAGAGTTGAGTTAAAGAAGTAACAAAAAGTACAGTACGGTTAACAATTTTTAGATTCTTATTAGTTATTCTTTGATTCAAATTTATTTGATTCGGTTCAAACCATCTCTTCAGTTTATTCATACTAAACTTTATTTTGTTAAATTAGTGAGTGGATGATAAAATCATTGATTACTTTAAAGAGAAGAGTAGGATGAATTTCTTAGTGGTGCGGGGGTTTTTGCAACTGGAATTGAACTTGAGATCTGTTTATTAGATTGCACATTAAGTATCGAATCTTGTTCTTAAAGAACTCATTCAACGAACGACCTATCTATGAGCTCAATAATTAATTCTATATGATAGTAATTAGAGGTTTGAGTTCAATTCACTTTGTGTGTTCAAAGTGTTTGCTTTTAAGGTTTACTAAGTGTTTGATTATTGGTATTAGAGAAAATTTTTGCATCGGCTTTGGCCTATATGTAGCGGAAAAAATTTCCTGCTGCTTGTCATTATTTTCTTTGAAACGGGCTGCTTGTGATTTTGGTTTTAGTGTTCACGGAAGAATTAAAATCTCTCTGTTTTGTTCTTTTTGGTGCATATAGCCAATAGATTGTGCACTCTTCCTTTGTTACAAAAATTAGTCAGTTTGAAAATGATTGAGCAATTGTTAAAACAAGGATTTCACATACTCCATTTAGTTTGAGTGGACATGTAAGAGGATGTAGAGTTAATGGATTACTGCACTTTTTTTTCTCCATAAAGTAGCCAATTTCATGGTCAAATGAGTGTATCAATTTAGTTATAATTTGTTGTTCAAAAGAGAATCCTATTCGTTGCAAATTTTTGTTTAGCTTTCTTTACTGGTCACAGAGAAGAGAGCTACAGTCTAATCAATGAGTTTAGTTTTATTTTCAAAGCAAAACCATTTTTTCAAAGAAAGTTTGCAAGATTAAGCTCCCACGTCCATCTAAGAAAAACCATCATCTTGGATGAATTAAAATCATATAGCAACGAAAGAAAAAATGTCTACCTAATCCCAATTTATTTATTTTAATCTACATTCCTGAGACAAAATTCTATCAGGAAATTAGAATTAGTTACCTCAAGGAAATCCAGGCTTTTTGCTTTATCCCTCCTTGAACTTGAACTCTAAATTCATAGTCACAAGTTTCTATTTTGCCCCTTTTCTTGAAGCTTTATATGCTGGTCTTTCTTCAGGAAATTGGTCTTTATTGAATCCTAGGTTGAGTACTCAAGCAAAGAGCTCATCGATTAAACTGGTCCTTTTTTTGTAGCCAGTTTTAGTATATGTAGTGCACCTAAATTTTGCTCATAATGAAAGCAAAACCATTGATCCAAACAAAGTCAAATTTGAGTAAAATGGCTCTTTGGTAAGTCATCATGAAGAAGCTAATGCTGTTAGTAAACCCACGTGTTGAATTGCAAAGTAAATAACCAAAAGGACCATTTCAGAGAGGTGATCCTACACTTCAAATCCTATGTATCATAGCAAACATTAATTTGAAGTAATCACAAGCAGAATTAATGCACCAAAGGAATTGTGCCGGCTTTGTTTCAAAACCAATACCTACGCTTCATTCTTATTGCCTTTGTTTGGGTTTTCTTTTACTCAGTCGCCATTCAACAACAACAATTATTCTTTTCCATGTTGCCTTTCTCTTTTTATTGCTTTGCATTTTTTTTTTTGGATCATTGTCTCTGTGATGACAATGGGATAAAAGTGTAGAAGCTTCTCGCTGAAATGTTTTGACAATGAGCTCCCTATTTCCTGCATTCTTTGAATTGTGTTATTTCATCTTATTTAATATAAATTAATTTCATACTTGTTTCAACAGTTTGCAAAAGGCATTGATGTTTGCAAAGTGCGTTCATTACCGAAGAAATTAGTTAGAAATGTCCACTTCAGGAGACGCATCTGGAAGCAGGTATGTTTTTTTATATTGTTTGATCGTCTTTTATTTATCAGTTACTTCATCTCTTGCAGCTTTTAAGTTTCAACTCATTCTATTTTACCAATTCTTTTTGCCTCTTGTGCATATCTGTGTGAAATTACAATTTAATTTCTGAAATATTAATGACGAGAAAAAGAAAACATAATTCAGTCGAACAACGTGTGGAAGTAAGGAATAATTACCGTAAAAAACGTAGGAAAGAACAAATAGCTGATCCTTTAGAATTTATAGCAAGTAGCCCTGACCTATTGCCAAATGCAACAAACTGCCAATTTTGTGGTGCAAGGCGTTTGTATGCTGAACCATCGGGTTTCTGTTGTTCTTCTGGGGAAATAAAATTGCAAGAAACAATTATGCCACCAGCTTTAGTACAACTATATACTGAAAATTCAGAAGAATGCAAACATTTTCAAACTTGTGTTCGCAGTTATAATAATATGTTTGTATTTACATCATTGGGTGTTCACTATGATAAATGTTTAGCCCAGAGAAATGAAGGGGTTTACACATTCCGTGTTCAGGGTCAGTTGTACCATTTTATGGACACATTAT